CCAGAGAGGACTGTGGGAGGTCCTGCGCCCTGATTGGTGGCTTGGTTCTTTGGGAGGTGGGCTGTCGTCACTCTAATTGGTGGGTCAACGGTGTTGTGGGAGGTGGACATAAGGTGGAGGTATGTGTGTGTGTGTGTGTGTGTGTGTGTGTGTGTGTGTGTCTGCGTGCGTGTGTACGTGCATGAGCACAGACCGGCACGGCAATATTGTGAAATCGGTTGAAAATCGCTGAGCGATGCCAGGGAGAGAGGGGGCTCTTGAAACTGATTCATCAGGGGGACGTGTTAGGAGAGGAATGGGAAGACAGGGGAAGAGAAGAAGAGGAAGTAGACAATGCTGCATGATACATCCTGTGTTGCAACATAGAAGTCTAACATTGGACACAAATATGTCTCAAAATGGGAAATGAAAGCTGTTGGTACCACGGAGACCATTTTGTTGACACAAACACAATGTCATGTTGTTTATGTTTCCGTCATCCCTCTCTCCATCTGACACATACAGCAGATTCTTAATACCAGCCTGAAAGGGTGTCTGCTCTAACATTGGCTCATATCTCTTCTTCCTGCTTTAACATGAGACCAGAAAATGCAGCAAGACACTGCACGTTACCATGGCAACAGAAGAGAGAAGAAAGAAAAGGAAGGAGGATACCATGGTAACGACGAGCAAAACAGCCAAATACAACATTCTCAGATATATAGGATACATGACACAACTCTACAAGAACAGGATTGTTCCAGAACAGGGATAAAGGACAACAGCGTAGTCAAAGTGGCTACAGCAACTGATCAGTGAGGCAGCGAGCCATCGAGCGTCACCATGGCAACAGTACAGTGGTGAGTCGCTGAGAGAACCAAAAATGGACGTCACTTTAACGGTGAGAAACTATTGTAACTAGGCCTCCTTTTTACCAGAACCTTCATTCTTACTGGGTCTATTCATATCATTCAGATACGGAACTAAACGACAACTAAGCATCGTTAGGGGCACAGGGTCACATGACAAGGGGCATTAGTGCGCAGGCAGCTGGGCAGCGAGCTGGAACAGCCCCATTACCATGTGATAAATGACTCTCCCTCTGAACCATACGTCATCTCAGCACTTTCCCCAGGGACATGATTGATCACATGGCCGCGGTATGGAGAGCTGAGGCCCGCCACTCTGTGCTCAGTAATCTGGGACAGGCTCCATCAGTCAACCCAACATATGGAGTATGGAGATCAGCACCAGAACACATGCAGGCCAGGCCACGTTGTTAGTACCACTAGGTTGTAATGAACAGATCAGGGGAGGCCAGACTGAATCTGAGAACCAACCTGAGTCTCCAAAAATATATTTTGAGAAATGCTTAAATAGGCACTTTGGTCACATTACGCCGGCATTATGTGACCAAAAGATTAAGGGGGTGAGCACTTGGAAGGCCCCTTTGAAAATGAATGATTAATGTACAGACTCTTAAAATCAATGAAGGCAAACATAACTGTGCAGAAGTATGGAGGTTATGTGTATAGGTCCTTATGGATTTCAGAACATGTGATAGGAATAAATTGGTCCTTTCTGGTCAGGTGGCTTGTGTATGGTGTAATTACTCAATAATTACAATGTAATAAACATTCACCACTTAAAGTGGTAGTATTTCACGGTGTGCAGTTGTAAAATATGTAGATAGTATCGCTTAAAACTATTTACCCAAGTTTACTACGAGATTCAATCTTCTTGATGCCTGGGCAAGCAGTGTGAGAGGGATTTGGCAAAGTAGTCGACCTGACATCTGGATAGCATTACAGGAGACGTGAAGCTAGCCCCCGCGCCCCTGGAGATCAAAATACGTGTCATTAACAATTTTTTCACCACTTCCAAACAGGTGAGAGAATCAGTGTTAATTACTTGAACTGTAAGTGATTAATGACAGCTCGGTTTGCTGTAATTTCATTGTGGCTATGTGGGACTAGACTATATGGCAGGGTTCCCCGACTGGCGACCTGCGGGCTGAATATGGCCTGCGGGTGATTTTATTTGCCACCCCCCCCCAAGTTTTATTTTTTATTTAAGACTTATGTTAAGACAGTAAAAACACCAGCAAATCAGGTCCAAGTGATTTAATTTGGGAAATCTGTTCCAAAGTATTCCCACGGATTATAGAGAGATAAATGTGATGGTATACAAATGTAAGCAAGGTTTGAAATGGTTGTTTCAGTCAAATATTATATCTATTTGGGCTTCTTGCAGTCAATTTGCAGTCTACGAATTATTTGTAATTATGTTCTGGCCCCCTAACCATCTGCTCAAGGTGATCCCTGCTATAGGGTGATCCATGGCCTCTGCAACATTACTCAAACTAAAAAACAGCTTGACAGACATTGGGTCCAGCAAGTAGATGTTACACAATATAGCAAATTCTCAAAATGGTTTATTATGATGAAAAGGCCATATTCCAGCAGAGTTCCAGGAGTCTGATAACCCTATAGCTTATACTGTAACCTAGACTTGCATAACGTGTATGAACGCGATGCAATGTAGCCTATAACTAGTTGGGTAATGGGGCAACTCGGGGGAGGGAGGAGGCAACACGAAAGGGAGAGAGGGTTTGAATTAAGAAAAACGTGCAATGATAGGACTGAAACACACAAAACATACGGGGAAGCCTTTGTGTTTCGCATCTGATTTTAAAAAAAACACAAACAAAAAAAAAAAACATCAAAGCACAGAGACCAGGTTAATATGCACGATGGGTTGTCATACCGTTTAACATCAGACAGACAGACACACATCCCTTAAATATGCGCTGGTCAGGAATACTAATCAAACCATACCTGCAAGCGCTCTGTCGCTGGCTGCCACATTTTAGTAGAATCAAAGTTTTCCGTCACTTCTGCAGCTGGTTGTTCTCTGTGTAGTCCAGCTCACATCTGCTCGTTCTCGGCGTTTGCTTCTCCTCTTCTGCAATCTGGAGAAAACAGACAGTGAATTCCAATGGAGCGTGATGAAGCTCCGCCTGCGATAAGTTCCGAGACTGGTCTGCAGGGGGAGGTAGCGAGAGCAGCAAGGAAGGACAGGACAGGGGGCCTATAGTCAGCCAGAGAACCCTTTTTTATAGACACACAAACTTCCCTGCTGGAATGTCGCAAAATAATTCCATTGACTGCATATTAAAGGCTCACATAAAAATATTGCCATTATTTTGGTCAGTGTTACTCCATAGCTTGGTTTACTAATTGCTGTGTCGTGTTATGGTTTGCCCAAACGGTCATGGTTTTGATGCACTTCTAAAAACCCTGTTTTAACAACAGACACATTCCAGCCTTCTGGCTCCAGTGAAGTGGCTCCGTCAGATCTGGCCATGACTCAGTTTATAGGAGCTGTACCCACCAATGGAACCCTACAGAGGCCAAACAGTGCCCCGTGACCCTGGAGGTCATGGAAAGGGGAAAAGGGGAAAGGGGATGAGGTCAACGAAGGCCCCCCACTCAGACTGCAGTGTAGGGTGAAACTCATCAATAACCCCTGGCTCCTCTCAGCTCCACACAGTGTGCGTGTGTGTGTGTGTGTGTGTGTGTGTGTGTGTGCGTGCATGCGTGTGGCTCTGTGTGTTTGTGTGTGTGTGTCCGTGCATGTATATGTGAGTGGCTCTGGGTGTGTTTGTGTGTGTGTCCATGCGCACACATGTATGTGTGTGTGGGTGTGTGTGTTTGTAGGGGCGGTGAGTGACGAGACGACGCCACAGCCAGCCTGTATTTACAGATGTTTACTCTGGGAACATCTGGATCAAGCAGGAGGTCACCAAGGCCGCACACAGGGCTAACAACACTCCTTATATGGGTATTTCCCACTGCCATGTTGTCTGGGGCAACTGGGCATGGAGAGACATGAAGGGACTGTCTATTGGTGGAAACATGTTGCTCATTTTCCTATGGTAGTGGGTGCTGAGTCTATGGACACTCCTCATTCTGAAAACTGGCTGGCCAGTGTTGTTGAGGTCATATAGTGTCTGTTGTGTTTAGCATGTATTTTGGTGGCTTGATGGTAGATAACGCCAGTGCTTACAAAACCTCAGGTGTTTTCCTGTTTTTCCTTCAATTGATAAGTTTGATAAGATTCTCAGGAGTTGTAAAATGCACAATATTGATATGATAGAATTTTGAGTTGGTTTTCAAAGCACTAGTCTAAGTGAGGCGAGGTCTTAGTCTTTCACTTAGTCTTGTGCTTTGTCCAAAAATAGTACTTAGTCTTGTGCTTTGTCCAAAAAGAGTACTTAGTATTGTGCTTTGGAGGTTATCCAAACCCACTTCTCATGTCAAGTCGTGATAAATAATCTTTGTGACTTCAGTATCATTTTCCCATTTCAAAAGTATTGAAATCTAATTACTGAGGTTTTTGTCACAATACTCAAGAGACGCTTCTGGAGCTGGATTGGACATGTTCTAAGAAGAAATGCAGATTCCATTCCATGGTTAGCTGTCCATTGGACTCTAGAAGGCAGACAGCAGAAAGGGAGGCCCAAGACAACACGGAGAACAATGAAGAGTGAAGACTGAGAACCAGCAACACCAGTAGAGCAGGAGCACAGGGGAAAAGATGGCCAAAGACCACAGAAAGTGGAGATCCTTTGTTGCTGCCCAATGCTCCAGCCGGCGTAACGGGATGAGTGAGTCAATGAGCTGAGGTTTTACATATTAAATGCATGTTTATACACGTGAATTACAATGACCAAGTCTTGTCATAGTACATTTCCATTGAGTCAACAGAATCCTGTGAGTCAAATGTTTTCTTAGACACAAATAGACCTCTGGTGTACTAATAAGAACAAACACCACGGAACTCACACGAGACACCAGCTGGGTTTGTGGTCACTTAAACCTTTATTGTTACATCATTGAACATAGATAATAATCATGTGGTTTTCTCTTTTTTTTAAAAGACAATGACCCTAGTAGGCAAAACATCAGTCAAGTGGAGAGCTCACTTGGTGTTCCGGGTGGGTGGAGATTTCACTAAAGAACCAATGGAATGGTCTAAAATGTACTGCCCATCCGGCGCCCCAAAACGAATGCACCCAGGGGTTGACCCTGAGTGGAACAACACAACCGCACACAGACAGAGAGAGACACCTATACCTGGGACACATAAGCACATATATTACTGGAGCAGACCCACCAGCAGACCCCCACCTGTCAATCATCCACACAAGACCCGCTCACCCCACCTGTCAGTCATCCACATAAGACCCGCCCACTGGCTACTCCGACCACTCCTGCGGAAAAACACTGTCCTCATTTAGGGAATACAATTATTACTCCTCCTTTATTTGTACAGAACTTGCATGTAAATAACAAAAATATGACAACCAATGTTTAAAAAAAACCTGTTTTAAAGCTTCCCCCATAGTGGTTTTATACATCTCTTCTACCTCTACCACACGTTGTTGCCTGAAGAAGGAGACGATTTTGGCACAAATCTGGCAAAGATACAGTAAATCAACCACAATGTACTGAGGGTTTCAAAATTATGCAGAAACCATTGAATCTACCCATGCACCAAGTAAGGTAACCTACTGCAGATTTTTAATATAGAAAGATATATATATCGTACTGCACTATAACAAGTGCGCCTATTTCTACCACACCTGTAAGAACTCCTATCAGCAGCCTCTGCTGAATCTACACTTTAAACTGAGCTCATGGGTTGGTGGGGGATGTCAGGAACCGCCCCCTCTAGGACCCCAATGGCATCCTGGGTAATGTAGTCACATTCTACTGGAGAGAAGAAGCAAACAACATGGCAATATCACCCAACACCTACTAAAATAATGCAAGGTATGCTCTTATGCTACAGTAGCTTTATGGATATTCCAACAGTAAAATAGATGTATCAAATTCCAGATTTGTATTTTTCTTCCCACAGAACTATTGTTATTTTTATTTTTTAAATGTATTTGTATCTAAAGAAATACTAAATCGTTTGCATTAACTGAGTTTGTGTGTATTGGTGCACGTCTGAACATGTGCAGTTAGTTCTATGTGTGAACAGGTTATGAGTGATACTGTGTGTGGGTGGGTGTGTTGCTGCTGTGTTTTCTACAAATCTTTTGTTTTGATCAGAGTGACCAGTGGCTTGTCGTCAGGGCTGTAGTCCTCGTAGGTGATGGGTGTGGCGTCGTACATGGCCGGCCTGGGCTTCTTCCCAAATCTGAGAGATGAGAAGAAAACACATAAATGGAACATCACTTCAGGTAGGACAGCTAGCTACATGCAAGACAGTTCCTAATGTTTCAAGTGTAGAGTTGCTAGGTTGAGAACTAAATACAGGTGACAGTTGAGTGTAGTGTTATAAAGGAGATGTTACATGTTACAAACAGAGTAATATGAATATGGTGTTGTAAGAGAGGTATTACACATTTACCCACAGTGTATTACAGGTGAGTATACCCTAGTGCTGGCAACCTTCCCAGTTTGGCCTGAAATCTACCGGAATGGGCCTTTATCTCATGTTTGTTCTAGTGTTACATTGTTATTGATTATTGCATTGTTGGGTTTTGAGTTTGCAAGAAAGGCATTTCACTGTACTTGACATTAAAAACGTGAATCTTGAATGGGCCTTTATCTCCCGGTAAACAGTAAAGCTATAACAGGAGGTGTTTCTAATGTCTGAATCAAATTAATACATTATATATTAACAATGTTGGGGCACTTGTATACTCATAGTTAGCAAGCCTAGTCTACCCTGAGGTGTGACTAGTTCAAAGAGCTTTGTGCCGTCTCACCTGGCGTGGCGGATGGAGGCGATGGCGTTGCTGAACTCGCTGTCGATGCTGCGGCAGTTGTAAAACTCCTGGTAGGCATGGCGAGACGAGCCCTGGTACTCGATGCGGCTGATGCGGCAGATGCCCACGATGAGGATGATGAGCATGAGGACGAAGGCCACACACAGGGCGCCGATGATGATGTAGAGGGAGTGACGCGGCATGTTGGTCAGGGTGTCCCTCGGGGTGGGCCGTCTTCCACTGCAAGTCTGAGAGAGAGAGAGAGAGAGAGAGAGAGAGAGAGAGAGAGAGAGAGAGAGAGAGAGAGAGAGAGAGAGAGACAGAGACAGAGACAGAGAGAGACAGAGAGGGAGGGAGGGAGAGGGAGGGAGAAAGAGAGAGAGAGAGAGAGAGAGAGAGAGAGAGAGAGACAGAGAGGGAGAAAGAGAGAGAGAGAGAGAGAGAGATAGAGAAGACAGACAGACAGACAGACAGAACAGACAGACAGACAGACATACAGACGACAGACAGACAGACAGAACGAAACAGACAGACAGACCAGACAGGACAGACAGGACAGACAGGACAGACAGACAGACCGACAGACAGACAGACAGACAGACAGACAGACAGACAGACAGACAGACAGACAGACAGACAGGAAGACGAGAGAGGGAGGGAGGGAGACAAGACAGGAGGAGAGGAGAAGAGGAGAGAGAGAGAGGGAGAGAGAGAGAGGAGGAGAGCAGTGAGAGAGAGACAGTGAGAGAGAGAGAGAGAGACAGTGAGAGAGAGAGAGAGAGAGAGAGAGAGAGAGAGAGAGAGACAGTAACCTGGGGAAGGTTTTCTGTAGTATCATCAATGTAAGAGTTCTAAACTTCCTTAATAAGCACAATGTCTTGAGTAAAAGCCAAATTGGATTTATACCAAAACATCGCACAACTGATCATATTTACACCTTACACACCCTGATAGATAAACATGTCCACCAAAATAATACCAAAATATACACTTGCTTTATCGACTTCCAAAAAGCATTTGATTCTATTTGGCATACAGGACTGTTCTACAAAGTTATTGAAAGTGGTGTAGGGGGTAAAACATATGACATAATTAAATCAATGTATACTGGCAATACGTGCAGCATTAAAATTGGTAAGAAAAGGACAGAATTCTTTAACCAGGGGCGGGGCCTTCGTCAGGGTTGCAATCTGAGCCCTGCACTCTTCAATATTTACATTAACGAATTGGCCACTATTCTAGAAAAATCCTCAGCCCCTGGTGTTAGTCTCCACAATTCAGAAGTTAAATGCCTACTCTTCGCAGATGACCTATGCCTGCTGTCACCCACAGCACCTGGCCTACAGCAGAGCCTGGACCTGCTAGAGCAGTACTGCCAGACCTGGGCCCTGGCAGTAAACCCCAAAAAGACTAAAATAATGATTTTCCAGAGAAGATCCAGATCTCAGGGAATTAGACCAAAGTTCTCAATTGGTACAAAATATATAGAGTACTGTACACACTACAATTACTTAGGTTTAAAAATAAGCTCAACTGGACACCTTAATGAGGCAGTGAATGAACTGAGAGAGAAAGCACGCAGGGCATTCTACGCCATTAAAAAGCAAATTCAAATTGAAATACCTATTAAAATTTGGCTAAAACTAATTGAATATGTCATTGAACCAATTGCACTTTATGGCAGCGAGGTGTGGGGTCCACTTGCAAAACAAGATTTCATCAAATGGGACAAACACCCCATTGAAACCCTACATGCAGAGTTCTGTAAGATTCTCCTACGTGTCCAGAGGAAAACTACAAACAATGCATGCAGGGCAGAATTAGGCCAATATCCACTAATAATAAAAACTCAAAAAAGAGCAATTAAGTTTTGGAAACATCTAAAATACAGTGACCCCCTCTCATATCATTACCAAGCCCTGCAATGCCAAGAGCTGAGCAAAGAAAAGAGTCCCCTCATCCAGCTGGTCCTGGGGCTGAGTTCACAAACCTGTTCTACTAACACACTGAAGCCTCAGGACCAGAACATCCAATCAATCAGAATAAACCAAATTACAACACAGTCAAAACAAAACTACATTGCTTATTGGGAAACACAAGCACAAACACAAAGCAAAATGCAGTGCTATCTGGCCCTAAATCGACAGTACACTATGGCTAAATATTTGACCATGGTTACTGATCAAAACCTTAGAAAAACCTTGACAAAGTACAGGCTCAGTGAGCACAGCCTTGCCATTGAGAAGGGTAGACACAGGAAAACCTGGCTCCCTGTAGAGGAAAGGCTGTGCAACCACTGCACAACAGCAGAACCTGAGACGGAGCTGCATTTCCTGACAAAATGTAAAAAATATAAAACAATTAGAGAGTGTCATTTCCCCAAATTTGAAATCCTTATTCAAGGTTTTAAAGACCTCTCTGATGAGGATAGGCTACCCATCCTGTTGGGGGAGGACGCAGAGAGCTGTGGGTTGGCAGCGCACTACATTGCTGCCTGCCATAAGTTGAGGGACAGTGTCTGACAGACCAATAAACCTGCACATGTCCTCAACTGTATGATTATTGTTATTGTTGAATGTATGGTTATATTGACCGTTGGTTATTGTTGTTACTGTTGTCCCGTTGACAATTTTTGATTCTCATTTTTATTTATTTTTATATTGTAAATATCCAAAGTAAGCTTTGGCAATATGTACATTGTTACGTCATGCCAATAAAGCGAATTGAATTGAATTGAATTGAGAGAGAGGGAGACAGACAGACAGACAGACAGACTGTTATGAATAACCTAAGAAAGGCATGTACATGTAATCATATTTCATAATTTACTCCCTCAACAAGGGGATTCTGGGTAATGTACTTACGTATCTCACAGCTGGCCCCTACCCAGCCTGGGGGGCAGTGGCAGGTGTAGGCATTTGATTGGTCGATGCAGGTTCCTCCGTGATGACAGGGATTGCTCTCACACTCGTTGACATCAACCTCACAGTCTTCCCCTGAGATAACCGATAGTTATAACCGATTATGTTTAACTGGAACAGCAGGTACAGGTATACTTTCAAACGGTTCAGAGGGGCTTTGCTCCCTAGTCAGAACAGCCTACTCCCACCTGTGCCCCCAAGGCCTACTATGATAGACTGGGTGACAGACATGTGTACTCTCACACACACACACACACACACACGCATGCACACATGCATGCACACACAAAACACACACACACACAGAGTTTAAATGCTCACCCAGGTAACCAGGTGGGCAGACACAGGTGGCATTGAGGCCCACACTCTCACAGTGTCCTCCGTTCTGACAGTGAGCCTTCAGACAAGGATCCCTGTAGAGCTCACAATGTCTGCCTGCACGGGCACACACACATATGGCCCATTAATGACACTCACACAGTACTCTCTACAGACCTGGGTTCAAACACCATTGGAAATATTTCAAACCCTTTAAGCATTTGCTTTAGCCTGTCTGGAGTGCCAGGGGGGCTGTGTTTGCACTTTTAGGACTTTTGTATTGGCTCATTGCAACAGACAAGCACATTAAAGCACAGCATAAGTATCTGAAACGATTACAAATAGTATTTGAACCCAGGTCTGCTCTACATATGACAGTTTACACCAAGACAGCACACTATCTCGCAATATATAACACAAACACATACTGTTGACAACATACAATCACTTATATGGATACATTTATAAAAAAACAGGCTGTATAAACTCATCGAATTAGCATACAGTGAGGGAAAAAAGTATTTGATCCCCTGCTGATTTTGTACGTTTGCCCACTGACAAAGAAATGATCAGTCTATAATTTTAATGGTAGGTTTATTTGAACAGTGAGAGACAGAATAACAACAAAAAAATCCAGAAAAATGCATGTCAAAAATGTTATAAATTGATTTGCATTTTAATGAGGGAAATAAGTATTTGACCCCTCTGCAAAACATGACTTAGTACTTGGTGGCAAAACCCTTGTTGGCAATCACAGAGGTCAGACGTTTCTTGTAGTTGGCCACCAGGTTTGCACACATCTCAGGAGGGATTTTGTCCCACTCCTCTTTGCAGATCTTCTCCAAGTCATTAAGGTTTCGAGGCTGACGTTTGGCAACTCGAAACTTCAGCTCCCTCCACAGATTTTCTATGGGATTAAGGTCTGGAGACTGGCTAGGCCACTCCAGGACCTTAATGTGCTTCTTCTTGAGCCACTCCTTTGTTGCCTTGGCCGTGTGTTTTGGGCCATTGTCATGCTGGAATACCCATCCACGACCCATTTTCAATGCCCTGGCTGAGGGAAGGAGGTTCTCACCCAAGATTTGACAGTACATGGCGCCGTCCATCGTCCCTTTAATCCCTCACTGTACATATTGCAGTACCAGCATCATCACACAAGCCCACCCCAGGATAACATATACTTAAAACTGTCCACATTGAGTTGTCAGTCACATTGGATTGAAATCAACACACACACACACACACACGCACGCACACACACACACACACACACACACACACACACACACACACACACACACACACACACACACCTACCTTCATACTGGGGAGTGCAGGCACATTCGTAAGCGTTGATGAGGTCTCTGCAGGTAGCGTAGTTCTGGCAGGGGGCTGACAGACACTCATTGTATTCTTCCTCACAGTACAGACCATGGTAACCTGGGAGACACACACACACACACCACACACACACATAAAGTCACACTGTCTTTGATCATAATATTAGATGACAGTTCAAGTAATGATTACGTTTAGATATCACTAACGAGAAGATCATGGTGATACACTTCTCAGCACATATCATATTTTTTATGAGATGTTTTTAAAGGGTGAGTTAAAAGTAGTTGAATGTGCCTTTATTTCTATATAGATATTATCACTTAGATCGATCAAGTCAATGCATTTGTTTGCCTACATGACTATGGCAAAACCTTGTGGATGTTACATCCACAGACATCCTATTAAATTAATGATAGATGTAATTCTATGGTTAGCCATGATTCAGCCATGACTGTTAGTGAAGTCTATTAAATGCAGTACACTCCAGTTCCCACTGGGTGGCAGGTTTGCACTGGGACTGAGAACTGTGGGTCTTGGTGTTTTTACCAATGAAAGAGAAGCAGTATAAGCCCAAGGTCAGAACACAGCGATTGACAGAATCACAGAGTTGATGTAGGACATTGTGTTCTTTCTTCAGAGTATACAAGCAGAAGCTACCATACTGAGTATAGACATGTCGGTATGTGTAATGCGTGTGTGAGTGTGTGTCTGGCTGTCTGCTGGTGAGTGCATGTGTTTGTCGTTTACCATGAGAGGAAACATTTACATACAAAGTAAGCCTTGATAAATCCCAGAGGTTCTCATAAAAAGCCAGTGAAATGTCAAGTGCCTTTCCCAGACTCCCTGACCCATTTCCTCTGGCTAGTCTGACTCTCCTCTGTCTGATATGAATACAGGGAGCCTGGGATCCACTAGAGTATATATCAGATCCCTCACAGCCCCCTCTCCTCGTAGAAGATGCAGACACCAGCTGGCATATTGATGAACAGGAGAAAACGTCAATTATTTCCTTAAACGAGTCTGATTGCGAATGACCAATGACATCATTCCCGTTAGATGAGGGCTGTCTGGATGGAGATGTGTGACTGGACGGCATCATCTGCCCAACTTGTGTAGTCAGACAACGGCTGCAGACAGACAATGGTCTGGAAGGAAGCGCAAAGCAACTGTCTCACCTAATAAAAAGAGATCCTAATAAAATTCAATCACCATGGCAACCAGATTACAGAGGAGGGGGAGAGGGAAATGAGGTGAGGAAAGAGAGATAAAGAGAGAGAAGAGAGGAGGACAGAGAGAGAGGGACAGAAAGCCAAAGAGAGGAAGAGATTAAGAGCAATGGAGAATAACAGAGAATAGGTTAGAGTGAAAGGTGAAAATAGATATTATGCGTGAATATACTGTACCAATGCAAGGTCTGAGGTTGTTTCTATGAGAGAACAAATAACATAATGCAATGTTATGAGACAAGAATATACTAATAAGAGTATGAACACAGTGAGAAGTACCTGGCTACAGAGGACAATAGAGGACAGTCTGAATCGATAGTGTGATTACCAAAGGAACTATTTTAAGTGAAGTGATCTAAAATGGTGGAATTGGGTTGTTTCTGTAAAAACAAAAAAACAGCCATTACTAATTTAGAGTGTATCTCACTCCCCATCCAACCTAAGATTGCAAATTAAATCAAAATGAAAACTGAAAGACAGAAAGATATATAAAGGGAACTCTAGGAAAAACTGATAAGGAGGAGGAGCAGCCTGTCACACTGTTGATGCTTCTACTGATAGGGTCGTTCTCCTGCAGTCACACCCATACCTGGGTTCAAATACTATTTGAAATCTTTCCAAATATTACTTTTTGTTTTAGCCTGCCTGGAGTGCCAAATGGGCGGGGTTTGCAATTTTGTGACTATTCTATTGGTTCCCTTGTACCAGGCAAGCTCAATCAAGCCCAGCTAAAGTAATTGAAATGATTTCAATTCATTGTTGAATAAGGGATAAGGATTTGTTATCATTCCATACCATTAATCTGAGCATGGAGCCATAAAAACCAGTGGCATGATCAATTAGCATGCATGACATGTCAGTCATGGGCATCATATTACCCACTGTGTGTCTGCATCAATGATATCACTGGGGTGGGTTGGGGAATGATGAGTAGTAACAATGCGAATTTATGATACTGTATATTATATGTGGCAGGTTCACTGTAATATCTGATTGATTGTGGGAGAATCAATCTGTTCGCTAGTCTTACAGCTTATCTATAGTGTGGGTAATGGGAGGTTGATCAGATGGAGAGTACCCCCCATACTAACACACACACGCACACACACACACACACACACATACAAACACAGGAGAGCTCACCTGGGACACACAGACACCTGTAGCTGGTGCCCACACTGCGGCAGATCCCGTGGGCACAGGGATTGAGGGCACAGAAGTCCACCAGCTGAGCACAGGTCGGGCCAGTGAAGCCGGCGGCACAGCTGCACCCGAAGCCCAGGCCGGGACCCTGGGGGAAGCAGCTCCCGTTGTTGTGGCAGGGGCTGGAGGCACATGGGTCCACCCTCTGTTCACACATGCTGCCCTGATACCCTGAGAGAGATGAAGGGAGAAAGAGAGAGAGAGAGAGAGAGAGAGAGAGAGAGAGAGAGAGAGAGAGAGAGAGAGAGAGAGAGAGAGAGAGAGAGAGAGAGAGAGAGAGAGAGAGAGAGAGAGAGAGAGAGAGAGAGAGAGAAAGAAAGAAAGAAAGAAAGAAAGAAAGAAAGAAAGAAAGAAAGAAAGAAAAGAGAGAGAGAGAGAGCGCGAGAGAGAGAGCGAGAGAGGGGTTGGGGAGCATCTGGTCTGGTGGCAGGAATGCTGTGGGGTTCTGGGGGTGTGAAGGACCGCATTGTGGGTGTTGAGGTGGCACTGTGGACTCACTGGGATGCAGCCTACAGCGTCTGTTTTGTCTACACAAACCCGCCCCCCGTGCCCTGTCCCCTGTCACCCGCCCACACACAAACACATACAAACAACAGGCATTGTTCTTCAACACAAGCCAGCCAGCACATACTTAAAGACAAGCACAGTACTTTTGCGACTAGTGAGTATTTTTTAAACCTCCTGCATTGGGCTGGATGTTTCAATGTGTAGTTCATACATGCATCATCTAAAAGAAAGAAAGCAAGAAAGCACTCTGTCTGAGACCAACACAGAAACCCACCGACTCCAGCAGATTATTCCTCCCTCTCTGCAGTGACAGTGAGATAATAAATGTCCATCAGTCTGGGTGATATAAAGTCCTCCCTGCATCTGGATAAATGAATCAGCAGACCCTGAAAGCCTCTCTTCATTAGCCCGGTGAAATACACATTGATACGTAATCAACATGCTCCTAGGTTATATTGACTGTGTAACACACATGCATGCACACACACACACACACACACACACACACACACACACACACACACACACACACACACACACACACACACACACACACACACACACACACACACACACACACACACACACACAGGCCAACACAAACATATAGGCTGACACAAACACACTCACACATGCTCACACACACACTCACATACACACACACTCACGCACACACACACACAGTCCCTTGTCAATAACACACAGTCAGTCTCCTCTCTGCGCTACCATGGCGATGATCCTGATAAAAACAGCTTGTGATGGAACCATTCTCCTGAGGAGGGAGGGAGGACAGAGGGGAGGGTGGAGAGAGGGGAGGAGGGAAGAGGCAAGGGGGGCACCTTGAGAGTGGCAGAGATAGAGGCAGCGATTGCAGAAGGTGTGACAAAGTGGAGGTTTAATTGAGGGTGACCTCAATTTATTATCAGTCTTTCTCATAAGATCAACAGGATGTAGGAGGCTAGTGGGAGTGGAGAAGCCAGGTCAAACCAGATAGACTGCAGTATTAGACGTTTGTCCAGGTCCCCAGGACGTCGGGAGATGCCTTCAATACTGGTCACTAGGGGCAACGTGAGCGCCTATTTCCATCGAGTAGGCTCACGGCTTGCTAGGGCGTTGTGGATGGGGATAGAGGAAGGGCTTAAAGGTCCCGAACAAAAAGGTCACAAATAAAATAGCCTATTGAGTGACTAAAATATCACCCATAATATTTTGGGGGGATAGAAATGCTCCAGATTTGAGAAAAATTACTTTTTCTCTCATGGCTAACAACCAGAAAGTTTGAAAATACACCCTGAGTGGGCAGGGAGCTTATATTCATGAGCTTGCCTTGACTGACAGCTCTTTGAAACACCTGTGTCAAGAAATTTGGATGCAGTGAGCCGTTTTGCAGTAAAATCATCTCAAGCTAATTTGTTGAAACTCAAAGAAAGTCAAACAACATTGAAATTGCATCACTAGCTAGGTTTCCATCTAATTGGCGACAAATTATCATGCGAATATTCCAAAATATGCAAATGTTTCACCAGTTGTGTGTCGCCACCAAACAAAAATCAGTATGTGATGACATACTGCACACAAAAATACATGTTTCACTTAAGTTTTCATGTACCGAATCAAAATCTAGAGTTCAATGTGTTTCCATCGCATTTTCCTCTCTACCGATAGTTTTGTCAGAAGAACTGTTGCTTTGGTCTTGGCACCTGCGCTCTAGCCAACAGCTCGTAGATACATTGCGGGTAGGCTGTGCGAGTAGGCTAGTCTACATGATGAGATTATTATGGATAAGAGCGAGAATATTTTTATTTGTCAAATGGCAGTCAAGCATCGATCATCATGTCACCAGAATAAGACCCTCGACACTTATTGGAAAGGAGCATCAAGATCACCATGCACTTTCACCACCCTGTGAAGTTCATCATAACTTATTTCATGTGTAGCCTAATAAACTGCATGGTTTCCGAGTCATAGTGGGAGGACCACACACCATATCATTGCGTGACTCTAAATTTACTTAGATATGATGGTTATTATATCAATGTTTGCACATAAAGGCGTTTCCACCACCATTTCTCGCATAATTAATTTTACAGACACAAAAAGATCCCACCATGTCGAACAAACAAATTATCTTTCTGCATTTATAGAATTGTACCAAAACTTCCTGTTTCCATCACAGCTGTCATTATTTTTTTACTCGCATAAAGACTGTGGATGGAAACATGGTTAATTAAGTAAATGTTTTTCTCCCGTTTGGCATGTCTCTTGTGATGTGGTTCACCGCAGCACTGACGGATGTGTTGGCATGCACTCTAAAAATGAAGGGTTCAACAAGGGTTCTTCTAAGATCCTCAAAGTTCTTCGAAGAACCTTAGGGTTCTTGGCACTGAAAATTGCACCCAAAAGGTTCTTCCAAGAACCCCATAGGAGGTGGGGTTCATTGAAGAACCTCCTAAGTTGGTGGGGGTTCTTGCAGGAACCTAACTGCCCAACTGAAACATTTGGATTTGAATTTGAAAGGACAGCAGGTGCAGGCACTTAACTGAACAATTTAAATATCTCCACAATTTAAGGTAAGGTTTGTCCCTTGTATGATCTAAATTTATATTGTTTTCTGATGACATTATCCATCTTTTCATATTTGTGCAAATCTTTCTAAAACAGAAATTGGACAGAATTCAATGGATATCAATCAACAAAGAAGTAAGAATATGTATGCTATAAGAATATGTTGAAGGCTAGCTGTATTGGGTACAGATGACTGAACTGCTCACTTTTGTGTATGTGTCTGCAGGTATACAGACGAGGAGGCATACAAAGGTATGTCAGTTGGTATTAGTATGTTATGCAGATTAGATTTACCATCCTCCTCTCTTACCGCTACAATGAATATCCCACAGGCCTCTACATTATGGACAAGGTATGTGTATGAAAACCATTATTAAAACAATTTTTTTCATTCACATTTACCACAAAAACCAAGGTATGAATACTGTCGTGTGAATGTTTTGTTAATCATCTTAATAACTGCTATTTTTTGGATTTACAGACTTCACCCTCCCTACACCTCTGAGGAATATAACAGGAAACTTGCTCGATCACCATGCACTGCCAAATCATCCTGGCTATGGATACAGAGAACATCAACACATTAACATCAACATGCCAGAGGATATATCAATTGGACTTGGGGCTCTGCTGGGAGTTTACCTCATATTTTGTTTTTTTTATTCTGCTTTGCTACTAAAATCATAATAAACACTGACAACTACAATATTGTGTTATTGTTGTTATTGTTAAGCGTATTATTAATAATAATATTAATAGGGGAGGGGGGGTAGTTCAAGGTTCTTCAAAAGGTTATTTGAGGATCCATTAAAAGGGGTTATTTGAAGAACCCTTTTAAAGAGTTCTTTGAAGAACTTATAGGGGTTCCTCCACAGTTTCAATTTGAAGAACCCCTAAAGGATTCTCCAGGAACCTTTACTTTTTAGAGTGTGACAGCTGCGTCAGAGTTTTGGACGACCCTTCCCCCTCTTTTGTTCCATGCTGGCTGAAGACCTAGCTAGCCAGTAACTAGCTAACACCAGACACAGATGAAAGGGGAGACATATACTGGAAGTATCTTTGCCATAGATGAATAGTGTAAAATTGTAATTATACTGTATTTGCTGACACCACATAGTCAAATGTTGGCATCAGTAGAGTAGCTATCTAGCTATATAAACCACGTCCCTCTGCAAACACGCCTTCTCCGATGTTGGTTACAAGGCGGCACTTATTTAAATTAGGTAAGAGAATATCATGTTACCATTGGTGTATTAAAATGAGAGTTAGGATCACCCTATTCCCTTAATAATCCCGCCTCCTGTCACGTCCACTCCCGCTCCCCCTCTCCGGCGTCGACGCCGTTCCACTAACTACTGGTCCTGGCAACCCATCCTTACGCACACCTGGCAACCTTCATTACGCACACCTGCGCCTCATTAGGCACACCTGGACTTCATCACCTCCCTGATTACTTCCCCTTTATATAGCGTTGTTATCGCCCACCAGGCAATATTGTTTATGTTTCCATGTTTAGACGCTTTTCTTGTTTTGTATCGGTCAATGTTCTTCGTCATTAAACTCATTAACTGCACTTGCTTCCTGACTCCCTGCGTCTACATTACACCTCCTGAATCCAAGTCTTTAACATGGGGGAGGGGACCAGTTACTGTGTGATCAAAATGTATCAATGTAAAAGCAACAGTCATTTTTCATACTTTGGGCATCATACTTTGATTTGGTTTCATCCAAATATCATCAAATTTCATGAAAAACGTGATTTTGACTGTTCATGACCTTTGAACCGCGCTCTACAGCTCAGAGGATCGTGGGTTCAATCCCATTGCTAGGCACTCATTCTTATTATTTTATGTTTTAACCCTATCCCAAACCTCAACTTTAATTAATGATTAAACTTAATTTTCTAGTTTTTACGTTTATCCCCCCGGACAAATGTTGTTTACTGAAGTGAGGCAGCGAGATCTTGTTGAGTGGAGACGTGCACACACACATATATACACACAACCACACATAATCTCAGATGTAGTAGAAAATGAGACATGACAAGAGGTAAAGAAAAGAGAGAGGTAATGGTGCCAAAAAGGAGGATGTGAAGATAGAAGGGAGGAAAATCGAGCTCTGTTCCTTTATCGCTGTAGAAAGCTAAGTCTGCTGTGTATGTGTGTGTTTGCCTTGGGCAGTGTTGTCAGGGATATTGGCTGGGTGTCTTAGCATCAGGACCCCAGAACCCCATATACCTCTCTCTCTCTCTCTCTCTCTCTCTCTCTCTCTCTCTCTCTCTCTCTCTCTCTCTCTCTCTCTCTCTCTCTGATCATGCTGACAACTCTCCCCAAGACTAAGCTCATAATTCATTATGACACAGGGGGTATGGGTCAGCAGACATGGTAAAGACACACTCGCAAACATGCATGCATACACAAGAACCCCCTCTCCCCACCACCACACCCACTTTACCTAGCCTACACACTTAACCAGATTCCCAGGGGAGCTCTGATATGAAAGGAGGCAGCTTTTGCAGAGCTTCTGCTTGCCAATAGAGCGAGTTAAATATAGCGCACCCACCCCTTCTGTTCCTCACTGGAGACAGTGGCAGTCCTAGAGCTGAGAGAGAGAGACCTCAGAGGACAGACACAGAGCTAGGAGGACTGCTGGGAGCAACCTCCTCTAGAGACTCTGGCTGTGTCTGAAATGGTACACATATTCCCTAAAGCAGATCGCTCAAGATTTACTTTGAAATTGGATGTCTGTCCATGTCCTGATGGGCGCAATCCCATGACTCTGAATCCGATTGCGCGTTCAATCCCAGTGGTAGACACTTAACCCTCAACTTAACCATTCGTAATGAATGCCTAAACTTAATGTTTTAACCCTATCCCGACCCTTATTTTTCGAAATGTGACATTTGGAGAAACGTAGATAAAAGTCAGAATCTGAAGTCAAATTGGTAAAACCGTAAGATCTTGTTGATTTCCTATAAAGTGCGCTACTTTTGGCCAGGGCTCATAGGCAGTATGTCATCTGACATGAGTGGTCATGAATGGACATGACACGTAATAACCAGACTGTTTATGATACTGCTCTGCTGTCAAACTAATACTATACACCTGCTCACCTGCTATTTGCCTTCAGCATTGGCATTTGGTGATCATAAGCCGTGATTCTGCTATGATTGCCTCTGCTATTGTTGTCATCTGCTGTCATCCATCACTTTATTTTATGCACAGCGTGATAACTTCCGCAGAGAGGATCTTTGCTAAATAAACTTGGTTTGATTTATGAGTGTGTGGGTAGGCAGTGATACCACACAGGGAACAGCTGACAGAAATAGGTTTCTCTGTGTGTGTGTGTGTGTGTGTGTGTGTGTGTGTGTGTGCGGTGTTCGTTTGTGCGTGACTGCGCACATTGGGAGAATGCTTTAAAAAGAAACCAAATTATCATTAAAGCTCTTCACTGCATGTGTCTTTAGAGACAGTGATAGTTAAAAGAGAGGAGCTAGAGTAAAGATACTTGTCACTTCTTCTCCAAATAAAAAAGAGAGACAGTCTAGTCCAAAAGGAAACAGTCTAGAGGTAAATGAACAACAGTACAACAGTGTGTCTTTTCCTCATGGAAGACACTGCTTCTGCTGTGTGTTATACAAGAAAATGCCATACACCATAATTCCAGGTCCGTCAACTCCAACTTTAGCATTTCAAAACTTCTCTGTACCTAGTATTGAGGGGTATGCTACAAAGCAGGATCAATGAGTTAGCCAGATAACTTTGATAAGCAACCAGAAATAACCATTGATTTTATACTTAATTAAAAAAGCTAAACTTAGATATGTCTATTCGTTTGTTAAATCAATTAGACCATGCCCATTTCAAGCTTATCTTTCTACAAAATAAAAATAATGTTTAGCCAAGTTAGCTGGCTAACTCCATAATCCTGCTTTGTAGAATACAACTCTGATATACTTCTGTGCTCACATTCACCTGCAAGAAAACAGCAACAAGAAAACAACAACAACTGTGTACCCTAACACATTCTTTACGTCTCTCCTGCTCAGTCTCTCACAACTGGATGGGAATCAGGTGGACAGGAGTCTGCAGCTTGGAGTCTACAGCCTGGAGTCTGCAGTGTGGAGCCGTCTGCTCCCACTCCCAGTGTGTTTGTTGAATAAACAGAGGTAGAGGTGAGGCAAGGTGCCTCCTCATCACCCTCCACTGGCTGATTGTGTTGACCTGCAGTCACCTGCAGTCACATGCTCACTGGAGAATGTGATTAGCTAATTGCCTTGAAACCCAGTAGAAAGGCTTCAAACGGCAGGATTACCTAACGAGCCTGTTAAATATGTAGATGTCTCTCTCTCTCTCTCTCACACACACACACACACTCCTTGTCGCACTAATTACAAAATGCTGAAGCAGTTTCCGCCCCCATTGTTGCACCACAACCACCATCTCTCTGTGAAAACAACCAAAGGAAAAAAACTGCTGTGGATGGATTAAAAATTCTGGTCGGCGTTCGTCCAACAGTGTAAGATTAATAATTTAATCCGGTTTGCGTTGTTAGCAGGACTGTGGATCAGAACTCAGTGACCGCAGGGAATTGTACCTGCAATGTATCATATTTTCTGGACCAGGTTGTACATTCATACCTCTGTTGTTTTATTGATGTGTTCGAAGAGGATTATTCCGGGATGGTTTTGCATGGGAGTGTCTGTGTGTGTTTGTGTGTGCGTGTGCGTGTGCGTGTGTGTGTGTGTGTGTGTGTGTGTGTATATATAAAAAGCGTGGATTGGCATGCCCTTATTTAGGAGTGCTGTGTTTGTCAGAATTTAGTTTTAGCGGGCTAGCGTAGATTTCCCATGTGGGGCTGAGAGCGGGTTGTTAGGGCCAGGAGGACTAATTAGAGTAGTGGAGGAAGGTTTAAATTAAGCAACGGTCTGGCACAGATAAACACTGAGCAGACACAGAAACGAACGGCAGCGGAACTAGGATAGCCTCACACACACATTCAGACTCACACGCACGTACACACCACACATGCACACAAGAACACCAGATGCACGCCTAGACCAGGGAACCAGGACAGTCCAACACACACAACCAGCTAATGAAGCTCAGAAAATAAAACTGATTAACAACGTGGTATTGTGCAGAACATCCTTGCTATTGTGCCTTGCTGTGGATCTGTGCATTTTATGTTATGGCAAGAGATGTTCTGCACTCAGAGCATTGCTGTGCTATTGGTACTGGGGTACCTACTAACCACAGGGCAGAGTTATGATAAAGTACCTACCCTCAGGGCAGTAGCACCTGGGTCCGGCCAGGCTGCTGGAGCAGGTAGCCCCGTTCCTGCAGGGCTGAGACAGGCAGTGGTCCACCTGCAACTGGCAAAGGTCACCCTCGAACCCTGGAGCACACAGACGAAACACAGTGTCACATAGCATTAAACCTGAACACACACAGAAGGCAAAATATACACCCGCAACTCTTACGCACTGACATGCAAACCATCCAACTACCTCTATAACAAGCACACACACACACACAGAAAAACACATGCACGCACGCATGCATGCATCACACACAAACACACACACACAGGCCACCCTATGTCTCACACTTCCCCATGACTGTCTATCTTCATTAACTCATCAGGTCAATTCAAAACAGAACACTCACTCTTCCAAGAACAAGTCAACAAGTCCTGCATCTAGCCAGATACCTCCAACCTTGCTACCCATCCAGCCAATTAACATGAATCATGTAGTGCTGCCTCCACAGTGCTCTGGATGAGCCTGTGAGAACCCACTGCCCTCAGTCTGTCAGGCAGGCAGACATACCACCACAGTCCTGTAATCACCCTTCTCTAATAAGATGTGACTGGCCATCAACAACAGCTCCAGCCTCTGCTTCTATAACAAGGTAATGAACCTCTCAGGTGGATCGGAGCTGCCCTCACTGGTCTGGGCCCCAAATATATCTAATTGACAAGTTGAAAGGGTGTATTCTTCTCTGCATTCCCTATTTCATTTGGAGACACTCACACACACGCAGGCATGCACGCACATACGCATGTACACCACAGGAGGTTTGTGGCACGTTAATTGGGGAGGACGGGCTCGTGGTAATGGCTGGAGCGAAATTAGTGGAATGGTATCAAATACATCAAACACATGGCTTGCAGGTGTTTGATGCCATTCCATTTGCTCCATTCCGGCCATTATTATGAGCCGTTCTCCCCTCAGCAGCCTCCTGTGATGCACGCACATACGCATGTACACACAGACACACACACGCACACACAGTAGTTACCTGGAGGGCAGATACAAGTGAAGTTGCGTCCCTCGTCGCCCTGCCTCAGGTCACTACAGATGGCGTAGTTCTGGCAGGGCCTGAGGTGGCAGGCATCAAACTCCTCACAGAAGATTCCAGAGTAACCATTCTCACACTCACAGAAGAAGGTGCTCTGGAGGTCAGAGGGGTCACGGGGTCACTGTCACATACTGACTAAAGGTACCAAAACTAGAGCCAGGAGTTTCTCCCAACCACATGACCTGACCAGGATAAACTCATGGCCCTATATGTGACAAGTGATTAGAGATACCGAGGGGTTCATGTGATGAGAAGAAAAACTGATGAGACTGAGTGGTCAGATAACATTGTGGAACATTCTGAGCATAATGCTCAACACTTTGTCTATCACTGGGATGGTTCTGGTTACTGGGGAGGGAAAGAGTTAGCAGGCCCTCAGTCTAGCACACGTCTCCTCTCTCCCCTCTCCTCTCCCTTCCTTTCTTTTATTTTCTCTCTGCAGCAGTGATCAGTCTGCTAACAGTAATGCCCCTAGGGACCTAGGGAGCCCCAGGGAGCAGTAGGGATGCAGGACTTTATTATTAAGAACTCTGTCTCCATCACACAATACATTTATGCCTTTCTCTGTTCCCATGGCAATAAGGCATGGTCTTTATTCTGTCTTGCTTATCTTTTTCTCCTCTCAGTCTCCTGTTGCTATGTTACCGCATAGTGTATCATCAAGACAATAGTGTCGCAATCTTACAATATTCTGCTGAATTACAGCAATTACCTTCCAGAATATTGAGGGGAAAATCTGTTTTCTGAATATTGAAAGTGACATGTTAAGCCTTAAAATATTGTTCACAGGATCAAGCCCAAAGACAAGGGATTGATTCACCTACGCAAGGACAGGTGACATCACATATCTGACCCCTGACCTCTTACCACAGAGGGCTGGGTGATGCACTTCCCCTTCCCAGAGCATTGTGGGTCGCTGAAGCGGCTGCCAGGCTCCACACAGCTGCTGGCCTTCACTGTCAGATTGAGACGCAGGGTGACCTCTGAGCCACTGGGGGCTCCCACGCGCAGTACACCTATAACGGGAGAGAGAAAACAAGATCAATCAAAAAACATTTATTCTATCCTAAGGTCCTAGCTGATTCACCTTGATAAGTATGAAAAAACTGAATAAATGTGAGCAATATTGAATATTGCCAATTTAACTAGAGAGAAAGTTAGGGGAGGTCAACAAGGACTAAGGGACAGAGGCATTGTGTTAAGATCAGGTGCAGAGAGAAGTAATGGTTCTTTGCAAAGAAGATTATGGTCAAACTTGTTCGGTTCTACAGAAGTTTGCCATCTTAACATCATTGTGCGTAACATTGACCAGAACACCTTGTGTTTGACAAATGTTCTAGGGAGGGGTTGCATATGGATCATTACCTAGATAAGACACCTCTAGCTTCCACTGCAAAAGAGAAATGTATTTCCCGGCGACCAACTATTAGAGAAATGGAGAAGAAAAGGCCATGCGAGCAAATATGACTCAAAACCAAAATAGATGAGTTATTGTTCTGTGACACACAGCAGACTGCTACCAGAAGCATCCATTTTAAAATAGCCTCAAAGTGAAGATTAACAGCCGTTTTTATGGACCTGCTATGAGCCAATGAGGCGCGAGCACAGCCAGGACGAGTCAATGCCACAGCAAAGCCCTGCAGCCAATCAGGAGTCTGTAAAAGCTGGTCCCCTAACACCTCACCATTTTCTGGTTAGGTCAGCCCAATAACGTCTGTTCCTCACAACACAAGCTCACAAATGCAAAGTCACTGCTCTCTGATGCAGCACTCGCATGTACACACACTCACACACACTTACGCTGCGTTTAGACAGGCAGTCCAATACTTAACTTTTTTTCACTAATTGGTCTTTTGACCAATCACATCAGATCTTTTCACATCAGATCTTTTTCAGAGCTGAACTGATTGGTCAAAAGACCAATTAGTGAATAAAATATTAGTATCGGGCTGCCTGTCTAAACGCAGCGTAAGTGTGAGTGAGTGTGTGTGCATACGAGTAAGAATTGGGCGGCCTGCCTAAATGCAGCATTGCATTTAAAAAAGACACACACTGTAAAAAAAAGATTCAACGTACAATTGTAAGGCAACCAACTGCAATAGGATTGTGAGTTTGCTCAACAAAATTATCACACACAAACTTTCTGTTGTGAGTTTACTCAACAACATTTCTGCTGAGCAAATTCACAATCCTATTGCAGCTGGTTGCCTTACAATTGTGAGTTGAATCATGTATATATACATATTTTTTGTCCACTCTGTATGCCACCATCATTATTTCATTCACACTATCTGTCTCACATGTACGAACATGCGGCACATGCGTGCACGAGTGGGAATGTGAGTGCACGTGTGTGTGTGTACTGCATGTTTTTGCATGTGAGACAGATTATGTGAGATGCACACAAGCACACACACACAGCTCCACAGCAGCCTTGCTCTCACGGACGTGACTAATTTATTATCCAGAGTCTTTGAGTGGTAAACAACCAAACACGATGACAGAAAAACAACTCTCGCTCTTTCTCTCTCCTTTTCTCTCTCTCTCTTTAATTCTCTCTCCCCTTCCTCTCCTCTCTCCCATCTCTCACTCCCCCTCTCCCCCCTCTGTATTTCCCCTATCCCTTTCCTGTCTCCTCTCACTCCACCTTCTCCCCCGATCTCTCTTGATCTTGCCCCCCACAAACACCATCTCCTCAGACAGAGCTGCAGGATCTCAGGTGGAGTGTCTCCAGCCAGCTTAAGGTCAGTGGACAGATAGGCTGAGACCTAACACAACAGTGTTGGTATGGAGACCACGCACAGGGGTCAAGTAGACAATTCACTAAAGGGAAGGACACCAATTATGACTCCACACCTGCTGGAATCCACCGAACCTTCAGACGTACGTTAGTGTAACATTTCTCATTGAAAATAGAAAGACTTAACGATAAAATATGCAGAAAAATAACAAAACTGAATTCCAGAGCCAAGTGTTTATGTGCGCCAGCCCCATACAAATGAGACATTATCATACTGTTTATGGAATTTATGGATATTGCGTTCTTGATTTACATTTCATGCAAATTACTGATCCAGACAACTCAGAACACTGCAGAGAATGTGAATGTTAGTATTGAAAACATGATGGAATACCATTCTATCCAATTCCCCAATGGGCTTGTTTGATCAGGGGCATATGTCTCTAACTTTGATGTACCTTATACCAATAAACTACAAGTATCCTCTAAATATAAATATGCATAATATGCACTTTTATCACTATATGTGCTATGCAAAGATCCATTCCCTTGGAGTTGAAGATAGCCATCTCTAAGCCAAAATACAGTTGGCACCAATAACAGGTTTGGAAGTATGGAAGTGATAGCGCCATAGCACCTATATATTTACCACCAAATGGACAGACAGAATAAAGTAACCTATATTCCTCCAAATGGTTTTTAACAGTTGTATTGAGGTGGGGGAAAATCTTCTGTTCCACATAGGAACAAACAGGATAATGTAAGTAAGTAAAGTGAGATTGAGGTGGGGCCTTACTGAGGAAGTAGTTGTGTTTTATGCACTATATCATTAGATGTGCTACTGGATTCATTTCTTAGGAGATTGTAATCTCTAACCAAAAACATATATACCAGTGACAGGTATACAAGTGCTTGCTACATGTGTCTAGGTTTCCCACAAGATGGACAGGCGGAGAGAACAGGAGAGGTTCCTTCCTCCATATATTTTGTTTTTGTGACCAACTTTTTATTTAGTTGGGGGGGTTAAAAAACAATCAAACAAATGCATACAAATGCAATGCAAATAGTCTGGGTAGCCATTTGATTAGTCTTATGGCTTGGGGGTAGAAGCTGTTTAGAAGCCTCTTGGACCTAGACTTGGCGCTCCGGTACCGCTTGCTGTGCGGTAGCAGAGAGAACAGTCTATGGCTGGGGTGGCTGGAGTCTTTGACAATTTCTAGGGCCTTTCTCTGACACCTCTATACCAGGCGGTGTCAGAGGAAGGCCCTAGAAATTGTCAAAGACTCCAGCCACCCCAGCCATAGACTGTTCTCAATACTTTGTTATATACCCTTTGTTGGCAATGACACAGGTCAATCGTTTTCTGTAAGTCTTCACAAGCTTTTCACACACTGTTGCTGGTATTTTGGCCCATTCCTCCATGCAGATCTCCTCTAGAGCAGTGATGTTTTGGGGCTGTCGCAGGGCAACACGGACTTTCAACTCCCTCCAAAGATTTTCTATGGGGTTGAGATCTGGAGTCTGGCTAGGCCACTCCAGGACCTTGAAATGCTTCTTACGAAGCCACTCCTTCGTTGCCCGGGCGGTGTGTTTGGGATCATTGTCATGCTGAAAGACCCAGCCACGTTTCATCTTCAATGCCCTTGCTGATGGAAGGAGGTTTTCACTCAAAATCTCACGATACATGGCCCCATTCATTCTTTCCTTTACACGGATCAGTCGTCCTGGTCCCTTTGCAGAAAAACAGCCCCAAAGCATGATGTTTCCACCCCCATGCTTCACAGTAGGTATGGTGTTCTTTGGATGCAACTAAGCATTCTTTGTCCTCCAAACATGACGAGTTGAGTTTTTACCAAAAAGTTATATTTTGGTTTCCTCTTCTGGATCATCCAAATGCACTCTAGCAAACTTCAGACGGGCCTGGACATGTACTGGCTTAAGCAGGGGGACACGTCTGGCACTGCAGGATTTGAGTCCCTGGCGGCGTAGTGTGTTACTGATGGTAGGCTTTGTTACTTTGGTCCCAGCTCTCTGCAGGTCATTCACTAGGTCCCCCCGTGTGGTTTTGGGATTTTTGCTCACCGTTCTTGTGATCATTTTGACCCCACGGGGTGAGATCTTGCATGGAGCCCCAGATCGAGTGAGATATCAGTGGTCTTGTATGTCTTCCATTTCCTAATAATTGCTCCCACAGTTGATTTCTTCAAACCAAGCTGCTTACCTATTGCAGATTCAGTCTTCCCAGCCTGGTGCAGGTCTACAATTTTGTTTCTGGTGTCCTTTGACAGCTCTTTGGTCTTGGCCATAGTGGAGTTTGGAGTGTGACTGTTTGAGGTTGTGGACAGGTGTATTTTATACTGATAACAAGTTCAAACAGGTGCCATTAATACAGGTAATGAGTGGAGGACAGAGGAGCCTCTTAAAGAAGAAGTTACAGGTCTGTGAGAGCCAGAAATCTTGCTTGTTTGTAGGTGACCAAATACTTATTTTCCACCATAATTAGCAAATAAATTCATAAAAAATCCTACAATGTGATTTTCAGGATTTTTTTTTTCAATTTGTCTGTCATAGTTGACGTGTACCTATGATGAAAATTACAGGCCTCTCCCATCTTTTTAAGTGGGAGAACTTGCACAATTGATGGCTGACTAAATACTTTTTTCCCCACTGTACAATAAGTTGACTGTGCCTTTAAACAGCTTGGATAATTCCAGAAAATGATGTCATGACTTTAGAAGCTTCTGATAGGCTAATTGACATTATTTGAGTCAATTGGAGGTGTACCTGTGGCTGTATTTCAAGGCCTACCTTCAAACTCAGTGCCTCTTTACTTGACATCATGGGAAAATCAAAAGAAATCAGCCAAGACCTCAGAAATATAATTGTAGACTTCCACAAGTCTGGTTCATCCTTGGGAGCAATTTCCACTTGAAGGTACCATGTTCATCTGTACAAACAATAGTACGCAAGTATAAACACCATGGGACCACGCAGCCGTCATACCGCTCAGGAAGGAGACGCGTTCTGTCTCCGAGAGATGAACGTACTTTGGTGCGAAAAGTGCAAATCAATCCCAGAACAACAGCAAAGGACCTTGTGAAGATGCTGGAGGAAACAGGTACAAAAGTATCTATATCCACAGTAAAACAAGTCCTATATCGACATAACCTGAAAGGCTGCTCAGCAAGGAAGAAACCACTGCTCCAAAACCGCCATAAAAAAGCCAGACTACGGTTTGCAACTGCACATGGGGACAAAGATCGTACTTTTTGGAGAAATGTCCTCTTGTCTGATGAAACAAAAAATAGAACTGTTTGGCCATAATGACCATCGTTATGTTTGGAGGAAAAAAGGGGACAGCTTGCAAGCTGAAGAACACCATCCCAACCGTGAAGCACGGGGGTGGCAGCATCATGCTGTGGGGGTGCTTTGCTGCAGGAGGGACTGGTGCACTTCACAAAATAGATGGCATCATGAGGAAGGAAAATTATGTGGATATATTGAAGCAAAATCTCAAGACATCAGTCAGGAAGTTAAAGCTTGGTCGCAAATGGGTCTTCCAAATGGACAATGACCCCAAGCATACTTCCAAAGTTGTGGCAAAATGGCTTAAGGACAACAAAGTCAAGGTATTGGAGTGGCCATCACAAAGCCCTGACCTCCATCCTATTGAAAATGTGTGGGCAGAACTGAAAAAGCGTTTGCAAGCAAGGAGGCCTACAAACCTGACTAATTTACACCAGCTCTGTCAGGAGGAATGGGCCAAAATTCACCCAACTTATTGTGGGAAGCTTGTGGAAGGCTACCCGAAACAATTGACCCCAGTTAAACAATTTAAAGGCAGTGCTACCAAATACTAATTGAGTGTGGGTAAACTTTTGACCCAATGGGAATGTGATGAAAGAAATAAAAGCTGAAATAAGTCATTCTCTTTACTATTATTCTGACAATTCACATTCTTAAAATAAAATGGTGATCCTAACTGACCTAAGACAGGGAATTTTTACTAGGATTAAATGTCAGGAATTCTGAAAAACAGAGTTTAAATGTATTTGGCAAAGGTGTGATGTAAACTTCTGACTTCAACTGTACATACATATACAGTGAGGGATATACAAAAAGTATTTGATCCCCTGCTGATTTTGTATGTTTGCCCACTGACAAATAAATGATCAGTCTATAATTTTAATGGTAGGTTTATTTGAACAGTGAGAGACAGAATAACAACAACAAAATCCAGAAAAACGCATGTCAAAAATGTTATATATTGATTTGCATTTTAATGAGGGAAAAAAGTATTTGATCCCCTCTCAATCAGAAAGATTTCTGGCTCCCAGGTGTCTTTTATACAGGTAACGAGCTGAGATTAGTTTGCCAATGAACATCTGAATGATTCAGAGGAGAACTGGGTGAAAGTGTTGTGATCAGATGAAATCAAAATGGAGCTCTTTGGCATCAACTCAACTCGCCGTGTTTGGAGGACGAGGAATGCTGCCTATGACCCCAAGAACACCATCCCAACCGTCAAAGATGGAGGTGGAAACATTATGCTTTGGGGGTGTTTTTCTGCTAAGGGGACAGGACAACTTCACCGCATCAAACGGACGATGGACGGGGCCATGTACCGTCAAATCTTGGGTGAGAACCTCCTTCCCTCAGCCAGGGCATTGAAAATGGGTCGTGGATGGGTATTCCAGCATGACAATGACCCAAAACACATGGCCAAGGCAACAAAGGAGTAGCTCAAGAATAAGCACATTAAGGTCCTGGAGTGGCCTAGCCAGTCTCCAGACCTTAATCCCATAGAAAATCTGTGGAGGGAGCTGAAGGTTCGAGTTGCCAAACGTCAGCCTCGAAACCTTAATGACTTGGAGAAGATCTGCAAAGAGGAGTGGGACAAAATCCCTCCTGAGATGTGTGCAAACCTGGTGGCCAACTACAAGAAATGTCTGACCTCTGTGATTGCCAACAAGTGTTTTACCACCAAGTACTAAGTCATGTTTTGCAGAGTCATGTTTTTACTTATTTCCCTCATTAAAATGTAAATCAATTTATAACATTTTTGACATGTGTTTTTCTGGATTTTGTTGTTGTTATTCTGTCTCTCACTGTTCAAATAAACCTACCATTAAAATTATAGACGGATCATTTCTTTGTCAGTGGGCAAACGTACAAAATCAGCAGGGGATCAAATACTTTTTTCCCTCACTGTATATGCATATTGTCACACCCTGGTTCTGGGACTCCATATGTTGAGCCAGGGTGTGTTCATTCTATGTGGTTTATTTCTATGTTGGGGGTTCTAGTTTGTTGATTTCTATGTTTTGCCTGAGTGACTCCCAATCAGAGGCAACGAGTTTCAGCTGTTGGCTGGTTGTCTCTGATTGGGAGCCATATTTAAACTGTATGTTTTCCCTTTGTGTTTGTGGGTTTTTGTTCCGTGTTCGGTCATTGTCACCGTGGACTTCCCGAGTCGTTTCTTGTTTTGTATCTTGTTTACACTTTAGCTAATTAAAGTATGTTTGTTCATCACGCTGCGCATTGGTCTCTCCCTGACGATCGTGACAGAAAAACCCACCATACCAGGACCAAGCAGCGTGTCCAGGAGCAGGCAGACTGGACATGGGAGGAAGCGCCAGGAAAGGAGATGGAGAGGCTGGCGATGGCCCAGGTGGGCAAATCGTGGTCCTGGGAGGACATGCTCGGGGGCAAAGGGCCATGGGCAAGGATTAAGGCCCTGGCGAGAGAGGAGCAGCGGCGTCAGCAGTGTCATCGTCGGAAGGACGAGAGGCAACCCCAAAACATTTTTAGGGGGGGGCACACTGCATGGGCGGCTGGGCAGCAGGAGGCTGCCACAGGGCGATTTGGAGAGGAGGCCACCGGGTTTGGGGGGCCAGAAGGCAGGTTGGCGGAGCCTGGAAGGAGAGCGGAACCAACGTCCCGTACTCAGGCATGGCAGCATGGGACGGGGCAGGTTCCGCGGTATGCGGAGCGGCGTTCAGTGCCACGAGTGGTCCGGCATAGTCCTGTACGTCCTGTGCGAGCGCCCCGCACGTGTCGTGCGAAGGCGGGTATGCAGCCAGGACGGAGTGTGCCGGCTCAACGCTCGTGGTCTCCAATGCCTCTCCGCGGTCCCGGATATCCTGCTCCGGTGTCACGTGCTGTTATGCCAGTACGGGTACACAGCCCTGTACGTCCTGTGCGGATGCCTCACACAGAGTGTGTGAGGGTAGGCATTCAGCCGGGACGGGTTGTGGCCGCTCTTCACTCCAGGTCTCCTATCCGTCTCCACAGCCCGGTTCGGCCTGTCCCTGCTCCACGCACCAAGCCTACGGTGTGCGTCGCCAGCCCAGTCCGGCCTATCCCTGCTCCACGCACCAAGCCTACGGTGTGCGTCGCCAGCCCAGTCCGGCCTGTCCCTGCTCCACGCACCAAGCCTACGGTGTGCGTCGCCAGCCCAGTCCGGCCTGTCCCTGCTCCACGCACCAAGCCTACGGTGTGCGTCGCCAGCCCAGTCCGGCCTGTCCCTGCTCCACGCACCAAGCCTACGGTGCGCGTCGCCAGCCTGGCCCGGCCTGTTCCTGCCACTCGCACCAAGTCTACGGTGCGCGTCGCCAGCCCGGCCCGGCCTGTTCCTGCCACTCACACCAAGTCTACGGTGCGCGTCGCCAGCCCGGCCCGGCCTGTTCCTGCCACTCGCACCAAGTCTACGGTGCGCGTCGCCAGCCCGGCCCGGCCTGTTCCTGCCACTCGCACCAAGTATACGGTGCGCGTCGCCAGCCCGGCCCGGCCTGTTCCTGCCACTCGCACCAAGTATACGGTGTGCGTCGCCAGCCCGGCCCGGCCTGTTCCTGCCACTCGCACCAAGCCAGGGGTGCGAGTCGTCAGCCTGGTCCAGCCCGTTCCTGCCACTCGCACCAAGCCAGGGGTGCGAGTCGTCAGCCTGGTCCAGCCCGTTCCTGCTCCACGCACCAAGCCAGGGGTGCGAGTCGTCAGCCTGGCAAGGCCCGTCGCTGCTCCACGCACCAAGCCAGGGGTGCGAGTCGTCAGTCCGGTGAGGCCCGTTCCGGCTCCACGCACCAAGCCAGGGGTGCGCATCGTCAGCCCGGTCCGGCCCGTTGCTGCTCCACGCACCAAGCCAGGGGTGCGCATCGTCAGCCAGGTCCGGTCCTTTCCTGCCTCACGCACCAAGCCAGGGGTGCGCGTCGTCTGTTCGGCACAACCTGTGCCTGGGTCACCGGTGCCTAACCAGGTACCGGTCAACGGCTCCACTACGGAGCTGAAGCTAACCGCTCCTGCTACGTCCAGTCCAGCTCCAGCCAGCGGGGCCAGACCGGACCAGGGGCGCTATGGGGGGTTTGTTGGAGGGTGGTGGGCAAGGCCGGAGCCAGAACCGCCGCCAAGGAGGTATGCCCACCCAGCCCTCCCCTGTTTTGCTCTTTTTGAGGCGCGGTCGCAGTCCGCGCCTTTAGGGGGGGGTACTGTCACACCCTGGTTCTGGGACTCCATATGTTGAGCCAGGGTGTGTTCATTCTATGTGGTTTATTTCTATGTTGGGGGTTCTAGTTTGTTGATTTCTATGTTTTGCCTGAGTGACTCCCAATCAGAGGCAACGAGTGTCAGCTGTTGGCTGGTTGTCTCTGATTGGGAGCCATATTTAAACTGTATGTTTTCCCTTTGTGTTTGTGGGTTTTTGTTCCGTGTTCGGTCATTGTCACCGTGGACTTCACGAGTCGTTTCTTGTTTTGTATCTTGTTTACACTTTAGCTAATTAAAGTATGTTTGTTCATCACGCTGCGCATTGGTCTCTCCCTGACGATCGTGACACATATCCTTTTTTAAAATATATTTCCCTTTATTACTTTCCAACCCCACCACCCCTTCCCTAATTGGAGTAAACTAGTGAACAACAATGCTTAGGCCTCTACTTCCAGCTTATACATACTATATACATTTTATGGACACAATCAATTTTAATAATTCTATTTTGTTTGTTTTTACTCCTGAACTTCCTCTACCCTCAACCTCTCCGATCATTTTCATGATGTCCATCCGGTTTGCTTCTATATGTCATATCTTTCTAACTGTGCTCTTTCACAAAAGCTCTCAACCTATAACCTATAACCTGTGTTGGTGTGCTTGGACCATGTTAGTTTGTTGGTGATGTGAACACCAAGGAACTTGAAGCTCTCAACCTGTTCCACTACAGCCCCATCGATGAGAATGGGGGCGTGCTCAGTCCTTTTCTTTTTCCTGTAGTCCACAATCATCTCCTTTGTCTTGATCACGTTGAGGGAGAGGTTGTTGTCCTGGCACCACACAGCCAGGTCTCTGACCTCCTCCCTATAGGCTCTCTCGTCGTTGTCGGTGATCTGGCCTACCACTGTTGTGTCATCGTCAAACATAATGATGGTGTTGGAGTCGTGCCTGGCCATGCAATCATGAATGAACAGGGAGTACAGGAGGGGACTGAGCACGCACCCCTGAGGGGCCCCCCGTGTTGAGGATCAGCGTGGCGGATGTGTTGTTACCTACCCTTACCACCTGGGGGCGGCCCTTCAGGAAGTCCAGGATCCAGTTGCAGAGGGAGGTGTTTAGTCCCAGGTACCTTAGCTCAGTGATGAGCTTTGAGGGCACTCTGGTGTTGAACGCTGAGCTGTAGTCAATGAATAGTATTCTCACATAGGTGTTCATTTTGCCCAGGTGTGAAAGGGCAGTGTAGAGCGCAATAGAGATTGCATCATCTGTGGATCTGTTGGGGCGATATGCAAATTGGAGTGGGTCTAGGGTTTCTGGGATAATGGTGCTGATGTGAGCCATGACCTGCCTTTCAAAGCACTTCAAGGCTACAGACGTGAGTGCTACGGGTCGGTAGTCATTTAGGCAGGTTACCCTAGTGTTCTTGGGCATAGGGACTATGGTGGTCTTACATTTTACATTTTACATCCAGAGCGATTTACAGTTAGTGAGTGCATACATTTTCATACTGGACCCCCGTGGGAATCGAACCCACAACCCTGGCGTTGCAAACGCCATGCTCTACCAACTGAGATACATGGGTCTTCTTGAAACACGTTGGTATTACAGACTCAGACAGGGAGAGATTGAAAATGTCAGTGAAGACACTTGCCAGTTGGTCAGCGCATGCTCAGAGTACACGTCCTGGTAATCCGTCTGGCCCTGCGGCCTTGTGAATGTTGACATGTTTAAAGGTCTTACTCACATCGGCTACGGAGAGCGTGATCACACAGTCATACGGAACAGCTGATGCTCTCATGCATGTTTCAGTGTTACTTGCCTCGAAGAGAGCATAGAAGTAATTTAGCTCATCTGGTAGGCTTGTGTCACTGGGCAGCTCGCAGCTGTGCTTCCCTTTGTAGTCTGTAATAGTTTGCAAGCCCTGCCACATCTGACGAGCGTCGGAGCTGGTGTAGTACGATTCGATCTTAGTCCTTTATTGACGCTTTGCCTGTTTGATGGTTCGTCTGAGGGCATAGTGGGATTTCTTATAAGCTTCCGGGTTAGAGTCCCGCTCTTTGAAAGCGGCAGCTCTACCCTTTAGCTCAGTGCGGATGTTGCCTGTAATCCATGGCTTCTGGTTGGGGTATATACGTACAGTCACTGTGGGGACGACGTCATCGATGCACTTATTGATGAAGCCAGTGTCTGATGTGGTGTACTCCTCAATGCCATCGGAAGAATCCCGGAACATATTCCAGTCTGTGCTAGCAAAACCATCCTGTAGCTTAGCATCTGCTTCATCTGACCACTTTTTTATTGACCGAGTCACTGGTGCTTCCTGCTTTAGTTTTTGCGTTTTTGCATTTCCCACCCCGCCTAACCCCCCCACCTCCCTGACTCTATATTGTTGTTGTTTTTGCAGTATTATTGTAGTTGTGGAAGTACTTCCTACTTACTGAGGAAGTAGTTGTGTCCCAGGGGGAGGGAGTGGTCAGAGACCACCAGTCCATCTGAGGCCTGCTGGAACCACATGATGGTCCCCTCCACCAAGGAGGAACGCTGGAAGCCATCCTCTCCAACACGCCACAGGACGGGCGCTCCACTCACATTCACCAGGATCCTGAAGAGAGGGGGGGGGGGGGGTGTGAGAGAGAAAGAGAGAGAGTCCTCTAAGCCGAATACTTTTGTTACCAGCCTGCTACAGTGTGTTCAGAAAGTATTCATAACCCTTGATTTATTCCACATTTTGTTGTGTTGAAGCCAGAATTCAAAATTGATTCAATTGTTTTTTTCTCACACATAATTCCCCATAATGACAAAGTGAAAACATGTTTTATCACATTTTTGCAAATGTATAAAAACTGAAATACAGAAATTTCTGATTTACTTAAGTATTCACAACCCTTTGCTATGACACTCCAAATTGAGCACAGGTGCATCCAATTTCCACCTGTGGCCAATTCAATTGTTTGGACATGATTTAGAAAGAAACACACCTGTCTATAGAAGGTCCCACAGTTTACAGTGCATGTCAGAACAGAAACTATACAATGAAGTCCAAGGAACTGTCTGTAGATCTCCGACATAGAATTGTGATGAGGCATATATCTGGGGAAGGGTATTAAACAATTTCTAGAGTGTTGAAAGTTTACAAGGGCAGAATGGTCTCCATCATTGGGAAATGGATAAACTATGGAACTACCCAGACTCTGCCTAGAGCTGGCCGTCCGACCAAACTGAGAAACCGGGCAAGAATGACCTTGGTCAGGGAGGTGAACAGGAACCCAATGACCACTCTGACAGAACTACAGAGTTCCTTGGTGTCACGACTTCGGCCGAGGCTGCCTCCCCTCCTTGTTCGGGCAGGCTTCGGCGTTCGTCGTCACTGGAGTACTAACCACTGCCGCCCCAATCATCATCACAATTGTCTTGTCAATCACACACACCTGGTTCTAATCCCCTAATTAATCTGTGTATAAGTGTTCCCTCTGCCCCCTTGTCCTTGTGGGTGATTGTTAATTGTGAGAGTATGAGCTCGGTGGAGCTACTCATAACATTGTGTTGCCAGGGTAGATTTTCCCCCTGTGCCTATGTATTATTGGATTCCGTTACAGTGTAATTGCCAGGGATGTTTGTTTCCCCTGTGCCTGTTTCGTTGATCGCTATTGGAGCGCATTTGTGTGTCAACAAAGGAATAAACTCTGTATTCGGTGATTACCCTCCTGCGCCTGACTCCTTTCACCACACTCCCCACACTTGGCTGAGATGGGAGAATCTGCCAGAAGGACAACAGTCTCTACAGCAGTTCCCCAATCTGGGCTTTATGGGAGAGTGGCTAGACAGAAGCCACTCCTGAGAAAAAGGCACATAACAGCATGCCTGGAGTTTGCAAAAAAGGCATGTGAAAGACTGAGATCATAAGGCAAAAGATTCTGTTGTCTGATGAAACAAAAATGTAACTATTTGGCCTGAATGCAAAGCGCTATGTCTGGAGAAAACCAGGCACATCTCATCACCCGTCTAACGCCATCCCTACCATGAAGCATGGTGGTGGAGACTGGTAAGGATAGAGAGAACAATGAATGGAGCCATATACAGGCAAATCTTTGAGGAGAACCTGCTTCAGAGTGAAAACGACCTTAGACTGTGGGCAAAGATTTTCGTTCCAACAGGATAATGCAATACAGCCAAAGCTCTTCTGGAATGGTTTTAGAACAAGAATGTGAAAGTCCTTGAGTGGCCCAGCCAAAGCCCAGACTTCAATCCCATTGAAAATCTGTGGAAAAACTTGAAGATTGATGTTCACTGCCTTAGATGTTAGATATTTCTGTATTTTATTTTCAATACATTTGTTTTCACTTTCTTTTCACTTTGTCATTATGGGGTATTTTGTGTAGATGCGTGAGAACACAACAAAATGTGAAATAAGTCAAGGGGTATGAATACATTTACATTACATTTATGTCATTTAGCAGATGCTCTTATCCAGAGTGACTTACAGGAGCAATTAGGGTTAAGTGCCTTGCTCAAGGGCACATCGACAGATTTTTCACCTAGTCGACTCAGGGATTAGAACCAGCGACCTTTCGGTTACTGGCACAACGCTCTTAACCACTAAGCTACCTGCCGCCCCTATACCATCTGAATGCACTGTATACATTTTATAAGACACACAAAACCGCATGCTAGTATGATGGGATGGTGGACATGAGTAATGCCTGGTCCTGTCTGTCTCAGTGGGGGTACTATACTGCTTACTGTGGTGACTGTACAGCTCTGAAGGTCAGGGAGTTATGACTGCTGTGGTCAAGGGCCATTACTCATCTGACTTTGGGCCAATTACTGAAAGAGAGAGTCTATCTGCACAGAGAGTGTCAGCAAAGCAGATGCGCTCCAACTCAACACAAGACCAGCTACACTCCCAGACTCGTCCCACTGGCTGAGTCACTCACAGATAAACACACACAGGGAAGTAAGTAAGTAAGTAAGTAAGTATTGACCTTTCAAAAGCCTTTGATACCATTGACCACCATTTTTTGTTGTTGCATAAATGACAAACTTATGGCCTTCGAAATACAGACCTCGACTGGTTAAGGAGCTACTTAGTTAATAGGAAACAGTTTGTTTAGTGGAACAACACAGTTTTGGAGTTCAAGAACGTGCCCTGTGGAGTTCCTCAACGTTTGATCCTTGGCCCATTGCTCTTTTTTTTATGTTAATGACAATTTTGATTGTGTACATTTTATATTGTTTGCTGATGGGGGGGGGGGGGTGGGGGTATTGCAGATAGATTGTAATTTCCATCAATGTAATTGTCTACATCACTTCCAATCCCCCATGTTTTTTTCCCTCGCAAATAATATATATACATACATACACATACATATACACATACATACACATACATATACACATACATACATATAAATACATATACATACATATATATATATATATATATACATATCCTTTAAAAATATATATTTCCCTTTATTACTTTCCAACCCCACCACCCCTTCCCTAATTGGAGTAAACTAGTGAACAACAATGCTTAGGCCTCTACTTCCAGCTTATACATACTATATACATTTTATGGACACAGTCAATTTTACAATAATTCTATTTTGTTTGTTTATACTCCTGAACTTCCTCTACCCTCAACGTCTCACATCATTTTCATGATGTCCATCCAGTTTGCTTCTATATGCCATAACTCAACTAAAGTGCTCCTTCACGAAAACTCTCAACCTATAACCTATATACTTAGTATGGACACAGCATGCCCTACATTAGTTATCTTGCTGTTATTAGTTGTTGTTAGTTGTTATTAGTCCCATCCTTCAGCTCCCTTCAACACCTCCCATCTATCTCTTAACACCATCCATTTTGGATTTCTATTTGCCATATATTTTTCAACTGTACTGTGATGTTTCACAAAAGTTCTGAACCCTTCTATTCTCATGGTTTCTACAGATTGTAAATTGAAAATAAACATTTTTGCTAAATTTATTATTATATTATTGATCGATTGACTATGACTTTTCAGATCACCCAGTAGTGCTATCTGCAGGGTTAGCTCCAGGTAAATATTGCAATCCTTCAGCCATTCCTGGACCAGTGACCAAAAACAAGCTACAAATGGACAGTACCAAAACAAATGATCTAATGATTCTGTCTCTTCGCAGCAAAATCTGCAGAGCTGGGAAGATTGTATCCCCCATATAAATAACATTCCATTGGTAGCAATAATTTTGTATATTAATTTAAATTGAAAAATTCTAAGTTTTGAATCCGGCGTCGTTTTGTGTATCAGTTCATAACCACTATGCCATGGAATCGGTACGTCAAAAATCTATATGGGACGGCTGTCAATCCTTTGGTCCTTAAATGAAACTGGTATACTTTTTTATTTATCACAGTTTTCTTTAACCAATTATGTTCTTTAATGCAAGGCCGACAGACAAGTTCCTTACTTTTTCCCCCTTCCACTTCCCTCTTCCATTTTTGCGGTAATGCTGCAATTATTTGGTTGTAATTTTGGGTAGAGCAGACATTTCCATTTGTTTTTGTTAGCTGCATGTGCGACATAACTCCACCAGTCCTACCTATGATATCTTTTATGAAGATTATACCTTTTTATTTTTACTTTTTTTCAAAGAATACTGCCTTTTTATCAATTAGTATATTTGAGTTTAACCACAATATTTGTTGCATTATTTGTTCTGTCGTTTCTGGAGAATTAAATTGAAATTGCAACCAACTTTCTATGGCTTGTTTATGAAATAGTGATATTTGGGAGATGATTTTCATTTCAAATAACTGAAAGTTAGAGGTTGTAATCTGAATAAAGGGAAAAAGGCCATTATTGAACATGGGGTGAGACAATCTTACTAATTTGCTAGAGAACCAGTTCGGATTTAAGTATAACTTTTGTATGACTGAAGCTTTTAGTGATATGTCTAATGCTTTAATATTTAATAATTTATTTCCTCCTAATTCATATTCATTATATAAATAGGCCCGTTTAATTTTGTCTGGCTTGCCGTTCCAAATAAAATGGAATATGTTTTTCTCATATAATTTAAAAAACTGTTTGCTAGGCGTAGGCAAGACCATAAGCAAATAAGTATACTGGGATAATACTAAAGAGTAAATCAGGGTGATTTTTCCACAAATAGACAGGTATTTACCTTTCCATGGTAGCAAGATCTTATCTATTTTTGCTGACTTTCTATTAAAACTTGTTGTAGTGAGATCATTTATTTCATTTGGGATATGTATTCCGAGTATATCCACATCACCATCAGACCATTTTATTGGTAAACTCCATGGTAATGTAAAAATTGTATTTTTTAGTGATCCAACACGTAATATTTTACGTTTATCATAATTTGGTTGTAATCCAGAGAGGTTAGAAAATGTATCTAGATCCTCTATAAGGCTGTGGAGGGATTAAAGTTGTGGATTTAAAAGAAAACATGAATCATCAGTGTACAATGACACCTTTGTTTTTAAGCCCTGGATTTCTAATCCCTTGATATTATTGTTGGATCTGATTTCAATAGCTAACATTTCGATGGCCATTATAAATAGATATGCCGATAGTGGACAGCCTTGTT